TTTCAAAATATTACATAGTTCTTAATACATCATATTACACGGTTTGATTCAAGTGGGTTATGAACTCCCACTTTTACCCCGTATACAGATTGCTGAATCACATCAGTTACCCTTCCATTGATTGACCTATTGCCTTTCTAGTGTCTGATGTATTCTGCTGTCTGTCCTATTCTCTTATTTTCTTTTTTAATGGTACTAAGGATTGAGCCCAGGGGTGCTTTACCACTGAGCTGCATCTCCAGCCCTTCTTTTATTTTTTATTTTGAGACAGAGTCTTTCTAAATTGCTCACGACAGGAAGTTTTTTTTGTTGCATACAGGAATCTTTAATATATAATCATACACTGGGTCACTGCAGGTGCACCACAAAGATACTGGACCCAAAACAAAACACAACAAAAAACACCCTATTATCTCAAAATACTTATATTTTCCCCCACCATTTAATAAAGAACTGAATTCTTTATTTTTAATAAAAAATTTATCCATCAAGAGCTAAAACCACAAATAAGGTTCTATAGTTAAAGCTGCCATAAATTAAGAACTATCAGACTGAAATATTAATTCCCTGGAACTAATGTTTAAGCTATACAACTAAGTCCTTGGAGTTTATATAGCTACATTAGTCAAGTGCAGCTGAACTAAGTTTTATTCAGAAATTATTACTCAAGAAAAAAGTGATCTGTTAAACATTGGAGAAAATATATCCAAAGGGTGGGCCCAAAGGCAACTATAACGTTGTATCTTTCATTCATCTAGTAGTTTTAAGTATAAATGTGTATATAATTTTGCTATTAACTAAAAAGCAACCAAACAATTCATTTTAATCAAGGTTTTCAGCTTTAAAAACATTTGCCTGATGACTCATTGAAGAACAAACTGGCTACATTAAGCTGACGCCACAGGAACAGCAAGAAACATGCATCATTCCTCTATGGATTTTAGATCCTGATGTTACCATCCATGGAAGTCCACAAGGGAGAGTGGATCCTGTATTCTGGGAGCAGGGAACATCTCTTTCAAGACAAAGAAATGGGGCTCCCTGAATGACCTGAGCATAAAAATGGAGCAAGAGAATAATGTTCACTGCTAATAGAAACATTAAGCATAAAGAAAGCCAGGAGAGTTCACGATCCTCAAAGAGGGAAGATTTAGGATTTATTTATTTATTTACTTTTTAATACAGCTAGTATTATGTATCTGGGATAACTTATCCCAGATGAAAACAAATAACTTTTTAAAAAATATATTTATTTTTTAGTTGTAGTTGGACACAATACGTTTATTTTACTTGTTTATTTTTATGTGGTGCTGATGATGGAATCCAGGGTCTTGCATGTGCTAGGTAGAGCGCTCTACTGCTGAGCCACAACCCCAGCCTGAAAATGAATAACTTTTAAGTCTTACTGTACATATGCTCTCAAGTAGATAAAAGGATGCCCAGCTATGTTCCTCATTAGCTAGAATCAAGATTT